TTATAAAAAAAATAGGTTAACAAACCATGCCTCCAAAACTTTATCTCGTGTCAGAATCTTAAGCAGTTGTCATTACTTCATGCAAACAGATAGCTGCAGGTTATGCAATCTAATACAAAATATTGGTCCAAATTATTAATGACAGAACCAGAATTATATATATATATATATATATATATATATATATATATATATATATATATATATATATATATATATACACACACATGACATCACTGTAAAGAAAGGGCATTCAACAATCTAATTAATAGTACTAATCAACGTTTAGAAATCTGATTTTACTGTATTGAATTAAATATGGGATATATGTATAATATATTGCAATCCAGGACATAAATATGGCAGGTTATGATCCCATTGCAACTTCAAAATTGTGATTTGTTGAAAATATTAGTAAAATATTAATATACAAGATCAAATATTTTATTTGACACAATCTCGTTCTTTGCTCTCACTTATTCACTCATGTTACATAGACACACATTTAATATAATACGATTGCAAGCGTTTATGGGTATCGATGGTAACTACTTATAGACAACGCCATTTGTTAACGTTAGGTGTTGTTCAATGGATTTAATACTGTTACGAAAGGTTCATACAGAAGGAACGGGTGCAGTCCAGGATGCAAATAAAATGATTGCATTGTATACCGATGTTGCCTTTTCACACTCATAGCATCTGTCAATAGATACACAAATACTATTCAGTTATGACGCAATGGATACACAAATACCATTTCACACACACACACACACACACAAACACACACGCACACGAATGTGTGTATGAATATATATATATATAGCCTTCATTTAAAATATTTGAAATTTTCTTTTTCCACTTTTTTACTCGGGTAGCTGCGGTGGTTCAAAAGCTAGCTCGCTTGACACACGACCAAAGTGGTGCGGGTTCGAATCCTACCACTGGACAATGCTGGATCAGTTACTATGGTCTCTCTATGGGCAAGGAACTTTACTCCTATAGACTAGACACAAAAATAACCTAATCTTGCCACTGTGCTGAGAAGGACAATACTAAATTAATATATTTTCATTGCATGTCACCAACGGTATGAGTAACATTTCTATCTTCATTTTCTTCTTCTTTTCCATCTGCTTTATTCTAGCTGTTTTTCTCTTCCATTAGATTGCTTCGTTTTGTACTCTATTTGCTATACCGAAGTTAAGTTGTTTTTTATTTTTAGAAACTGCATCGCACATTCTATGTTGGTTGTTTTGGCTTCACGTCAGTTAAAAACACATACTTGAAGGATATTTTACATTAAATCAATTTATAAATATCTATTTTTCTTGCGGAGACAATTTATTTACTGCCTCCAACAGAGCTGTTAAGTCGCCTATACAAATTCCAGATGGTTTGTTTACAATGTAACAATTGTTTTATCAATATTTACAGTAACAAAAATGAGTTAAAATATACTTGCGATGAATGTCTTGAACAATGATTGGAAAATATATATATATATATATATATATATATATATATATATATATATATATATATATATATATATATATATATATATATTGGAATAAAGAATATGTAAAGAAATCATTGATTTAAAATAAATGAAAACTGCTGTTATTAATACAGTATTGCAACACATACACGTACGTACGTACGTATATATATATATATATATATATATATATATATATATATATATATATAATGTTCAAAAAGTTTCATGTTTAATGGCAGCTTCTTTAATTTGTTTTAAATATTTTATCCATCCCGGTTTGCAAGGAAATTTTATTCACAGTTTCAAAGCTATTGTAATTTTAGCATATAAACCATATTATGAGTTTATATGTACATCGCAGTATTTCAGTTTAGTTAACACTTATAGAAAAACCTTTAATTTCATGCTTTGTTAATCAACCTCCGATACTTTGTTAATGACTTACTTATTCTTTTTTGATAGCCATGACAATGGTATTTGACTTAAACAAATTTCATGCATATGTACAATGTCATAAGCCAGTATCAAATGCATTTAGCGACTGATTATTGGAATAAAGAATCCGTATTATGAAAACATCGATTAAAATTGACAGCTGCGGACGCCAGGATAATATCGTGCATTTTTAAAGTTTTTATGTATGCAGAGAGCGATTTTAGGTCTGTGAATTGTAACACGTGTTATTGACGAACAGTTTAGACATTGTTTAACGTAAGGCTATCAATACTGAACAACCTTGCATGATGATCATGTGATCTCAGAATGTATAGATTGGTGGAGTTGTTGCATACATACATACATACATACATACATACATACATACATACATACATACATACATACATACATACATACATACATACATACATACATACACACACACACACACACACACACACACACACACACACATACATACATACATACATACATACATACATACATACATACATACATACATACATACATACATACATACATACATACATACATACATACATACATACATACATACATACATAGAGAGAGAGAGAGAGAGAGAGAGAGAGAGAGAGAGAGAGAGAGAGAGAGAGAGAGAGAGAGAGAGAGAGAGAGAGAGAGAGAGTTTGTACGCTTTGACATTATGTAACCTAGCATGACAATAACCATGTCATCAGTGCAAGGAAAGAGCAACATTTTAATTTGTACTTTTGGTCGCCAACGTTGAAAAGTCTTAATTAATATTGTTGAATTTAACATGAGAACAATAGGATCTTGTAGTCTATGATATGAATATGACGTGCTATGGTCTTTGATTTTTCAATATCATGCTCGGTTGAAAATGTTACGAAAATGTTATCATATAAGATAAATAGTTTAATTTACATAATCTCGTTATGTATGATCATGTTACATAAACGCACATCTTGATATAATATAATTGCAAGCGTTCATGGGTATCGATTTTAATAACCTATAAATAAGTACACTTGGAAATATTTCGTTTTGTTATATTGATCGAAACCGCACCAGTGGCATAGTGGTTAGAGCGTCCGCCTCGGATGCAGGAGGTCGTGGGTTCTAATCCCAGCCGAGTCATACCAAAGACTTATTAAAATGGTACTAACAGCTGCCTCGCTTGGCTCTCAGCATTAAGAGGTTAGTATTAGGACTAGTTGTCCTGGTGTCAGGATAATGTGACTGGGTGGGACATCATGTCACATGTCTGTGGCATGATTCCATGTCACTTGTCTGTGGCATGATTCCATGTCACAGTTCTGTGGCATGATACCCCAGTGCTATACATCACTATAAACTGTCACACTGCAGACATCGCAGCGATATGACTGAAAGATTGTAAAAGCTACATTAAAAATCTAAATAACACACACACACACACACACACACACACACACAATCGTTAAATCGAAACTGAAAAGTTCAGTCCTTGTGTATGTAGGTATTCATCACTATCTTTGTGGGAAAGATATAAATATATAGGAAAACTAATGTTATGAAACTAATATTTGTGTCTTCACTAAATGTTGATGTATTATTATTATTATTATTATTATTATTATTATTATTATTATTATTATTATTATTATTATTATTATTACTGTGGTGTTCTTAAATAGAACAACAAACTTGCCTTGTTTGCCGTCAGCTTATGATGTTTTATTAAAAATAGTTTTATGGGGAAAAACTAGACTTGTATATTCATTTATAACTTAAGACGTTATTGGATGAAATTTTCACAAAAAGCTTCAATTAAAGATTATAGATAGTAGTTTAAGCTTCAGAGTTACAGTTTTTAAGTCAGATAACAACCTACAACATAGACAATGATGTGCTGACGGATAATGCGTTTACAGATTAGGGTTTGTTTTATTTGGTTTACTGCTTGCTCAAAACAAATTGCATACACCGTAATATTAAGCTTATGGACGCATATCTGGGGCTCTGCAGTTTGAAACAGGACTTGATTTGTGTGTAAAGAGTACCTAAGGTAATACGAAATAAAACTGTTCCACGGATGAACGAATTGCACATGCAAATCGAGTCCCAGGATGCAAAGTACGGTTAGATTTGTTAATTAGAAATACTGAGAGTAATTCCAGCGAAATCGTTGGCGGAACGCAGCAGCGAAATAAATAGCATCAATAGACGAAATAATAGCCACGAAATAAACTTACGGTCAATTTTTATTCACATATTTGTAATAAACATGACATATTGACAGTAATCAATCTGTGAAAGAAAATGACTACGAGGAAACGTTTTCCAGTTATTTTACGAATGAAATAATTATTTGAAATATATGTATGTATTGTATGAATATAAGCATTAAACCAAATATTGACGAACATCCATAGTTTTCATAGTTTCTTGAGCATCTCGTTTTCTCAGTGTAAACATTTTAAGATTGTGAATCATTAGTGAAAGTAGTTATTATACAAAATTAACTTGTTCCCTTCTTGCTCATAGTTAACGACAATGACGCGGGTACAATGTATGAATTACTTGAATTTTAAGGATTTTGCTTGCAAACAAGTTATAATAATTCACGAGTAACTTTCGTGAGTAGTGCTAGAAAACAGAGTTGTCCAGTTTTGTTTTTGACGGTACCCTAAGCTAGACTAAATTTAAACTTTGACATGTATTTAGCCGTTTTAACGATTTTGCCTTTGGTTGCATGCTGTCTTTTTAAAGAACAAATTGTAACCAAGGATTGTATTCGGTTCAATATAAACAAGACAGTGCGCATAGGGCGTCGCCACATTAAGTAGTTGTGTATGTACTAAAGGAAGACGGGATACAGGCAGTCGCCATCATTGTTCCTTGAAGCCCGTGGACAAGACCATGTTTCTGCTGATACATTTTTGCTCAGAACAAGCACGTTGATCAGGATACCACCCACCCACCCCATATCATCTCTGGTTCGGACAGTATTAGAAAAGGCTGAGTTAGACTGTATTATACATCTTTGGTAAAAGCAGTATTTTACCGCTACGGTAGCCTAGTGGTTAGAGCGTTCGCCTCGGATTCGGTAGGTCATGGTTTCGAACCCCGGCAGAGTCATACCAAAAAGTTATAAAAATGGTGCTAACAGCATCCTGGCTTGACGCTCAGCATTAAGAGGTTAGTGTTAGGACTGGGGAGTCTGGCGTCAGGATAATGTGAATGGGTGGGACATGATACTACATGTCTGCGGCATGATTCCACATAGACATAACAATAAATTACCACACTGCAGTCACCGTAGCGAAAGGACTGAAAAAGTGTTAAAGCTACGTTAAAAGATCCAAATACAACAAAGTTAATACAAAAAAAAACTATCTTGAGTATGTATGTATGTATGTATGTATGTATGTATGTATGTATGTATGTATGTATGTATGTATGTATGTATGTATGAAAATATGGTAAGAAATGACTGAGTGCTATGTCGCAAAAGGCATTTATAACGCATCAAGTTAGGAGATAGGTCGAAGCGGACCCAGGAAACTAGTTCGGAGAGCCAATGTGCTATGAACAATATGAAGATATTTTGCAGGCCACGTGCTGTATTTGCTCTCCGTTTAGTGAGGCTCTCCAATGGGTCCAACATTGCTGGAAATAGCTAAGTTTCGTAAGAGTCATGTTCTTAGGTTTTGGTTAAATGTCGATTTAAGAAATCATATTAATATTTACATGTACAGTAAATAATATGACGGCAACGTATATTTAAGTTTTCAGTTGTTACGGTTTGTGGGACATAATTATTTTAGTATATCATTTTCGCTGTCAAGATAACATAAAACAACCCCAAGCTGGAGATCAAATGTTTCAGAAGAAACAGTGTTGCAAGTTATCCAGTGACACCTATCTTTTAAAAAAAATAACGAGATATCGACTGCACTAGTTGCGGTGCGAGTTAAGACGGTTATGATAAGGGAGACAATTCATTGTGGGGAAGGTACTCAGTGTAATCACAGTTCTTTCCCTTGTACTTTGTTTTTGTTGCCAAACGTAAACTCGCAAAATTTCTATACAATGCAAATTTAACACGGTCTTAATCATTCATATAGTAAACCTATTGTAACATCATACTGAAAATAAAATAACTTTCAATTTCTAAAAAGCCTAGACCAGTCCTGTATCTTATAACATAGAACCAGACTTGAAACTGCTTTTTTTTAGTTAAAGAAAGTGTATGCAATGTTGCATCTCACACCAATTCCGCTTCATTCATTATTGGGGTTCCAACAGCATTAATAAAAATCATTGGATCAGTAAAACTTTTCTCCATTTCATCTCAGTTCATTTGAGGATCAATTTTTAAAGATGATTTTCCTTTTTATTTACTTTCACCGTCAACCAATCAGCCTCATAAGCAAGAATATTTTGTTATTTTATGTCCGCCTGTTTCTAAACTGGTTCAGATCTTCTTTAAAACTAATACCGATAGCCTTAAATTGACTCTTCTTTATAATTGATACCGATAGTCTTAAAGTGACTCTTCTTCATAATTAATACTGATAGTCCTTCTTCATAATTAATACCGATAGCCTTAAATTGATTCTTCTTTATAACTAATACCGATAGTCTTAAAGTGACTCTTCTTCATAATTAATAACTGATAGTCCTTCTTCATAATTAATACCGATAGCCTTAAAGTGATTCTTCTTTATAACTAATACCGATAGCCTTAAATTGACTCTTCTTCATAATTAATACCGAAAGTACTAAAGTGAGTCTTCTTTCTAATTAATACTGAGAGTCCTAAATTGAGTCTTCATAATAAATACATACAGTCCTAAAGTGAGTCTTCTTTCTAATTAATACTGAGAATACTAAATTGAGTCTTCTTCATAATTAATACCGATAGCCCTAAGTGAGTCTTCCTCATAATTAATACCATAACCATAAAGTGAGTATTCTTCAGAATTAACACCAATATCCCTAAAATGAGTCTTTTTTCATAATTAATACCGATAGTTCTAAAGTGAGTCTTCTTTCTAATTAATACTGAGAGTACTAAATTGAGTCTTCTTCATAATTAATACCGATATCCCTAAAGTGAGTCTTCTTTCTAACTAATACCGATAGCCTTAAACTGACTCTTCTTCATAATTAATACCAATAGTCCTAAAATGAGTCTTCTTCATAATTAATACCGTTAGCACTAAAGTGAATCTTCTTCAGAATTAATACCGATATCCCTAAAACGAGTCTTCTTCATAAATAATACCGATAGTACTAAAGTGAATCTTCTTCAGAATTAATACCTACATAATTAATACCGTTAGCCCAAAGTGAGTCTTCTTGAAAGTCTGCTCATAAGATACAAATATTTATAATCAACTGCTTCTTTTCCCTTCTGAAACATAGTCCTTAGGTTGCGCATAAACATGTATTTTTAAGACAGTAGTATTACTCTCAGTTACAAGTCTCAAGGTTAGAATACAATGTAGATTTCTGCTCAGTTCTTGAGAAGATAAGGTTCAATAATTAATTATTGAAACGACAGTTTTGATGACGTTTAGAAAGGCTTCAATCATTAATATAGAAAGGCATACAATCTTAGAAGATAGTTCCTTTAATGCTTATTATAACTACTTGCTCATTATAACGACATATATTCTACACAACGATATGCTGGTTCCCCAAATGACCGAGTTCTCACACGTGCTCGTCTCACAGATCACCGACTTTTCACTTGTTGTCGTGGGTTCGAGTCTCATATTCTGCCAGCGTGGGTATGAGAGAAAGTTTGCCGAAGCTTCCCGTAGGTCAGGTAATCTTCCCGGGATTTTTTCCGGGTTCTTCTCCCTTCAAACATATGCATAGCCTATCATATGATAAAAGATGACGTTAAACTAAAAAACAAACAAACAAAAAACAACAACACTGTGGGGCCCCGAGTGGCTGAGTGGTCTAAAGCGCTGTCCGTTATGGATCAGTGCCATCTCACCTATGTCTGCGTGGGTTCGAGTCTAGGATTCAGCGAATGTGGATATGTGGGAAAGCTTGCCAGTAACTTCTCGTGGGTCTGTGGTTCTCTCCCCGGATTTCCCTGTTTCTTCCTCCACCATTATTACTGACCGCCATGTATAGCCTATAGTGTGCTGAAAAATGGAGTTAAGCCCCTCAACAACAGCAACAACACCGACCTATATAAATATATGCTCTTTATAACGATAAACTCTTATGAAGACAACACTTTTTGACGACGTCTTGTCTATAACAGCATACTCAATAAAACGGCATACCGTTTATAATGACAAATTCATTATAACGAATATGATCATGACCATAATATATCTATGCTCAGGTCTCTGTTATTGCATCATTAAGTATAGCAATATACCCTTTATAGCGACATAATCATATAAGAACATGCTTATTGTAACAATATACTTCTCATAACGACGTGCTTTATAAAACAAAATATTCATTATAAGGACCTGCTCATTAGAGACCCTCGTTATAATGACATGCTCTTTATAACGATATTCTTATCATAACAACATGCCCATTATAACGACATATTCTTTATGACGATATTCTCATTATAACGACATATTCATTAAAACAACATTCTCATTAAAATGACATTCTCATTATAACGACGTATTCATTATAACGACATTCTCTTCATAACGATGTAAAATTCGTATCTCCAATATAATGGACATTTGGAATATCTCAGGTTGGCGATACGACACATGAAAGGTTTTATGTAGCGTTACTAGAGAAATATTATGTATCATAAGTAACTCAAATCTGTATGTAGCAAGCTATAGTTTATGTAGCAAGCTATAGTTTATGTAGCAATATATAGTTTATGTAGCAAGCTATAGTTCATATAGCAAGCTATAGTTCATATAGCAAACTATAGTTCATGTAGCAAGCTATAGTTCATGTAGCAATCTATAGTTTATGCAGCAAGCTATAGTTCCTGTAGCAAGCTATAGTTTACGTAGCAAGCTATAGTTTATGTAGCAATTTATAGTTTATGTAGCAATCTATAGTTTATGTAGCAATTTATAGTTTATGTAGCAATCTATAGTTTATGTAGCAAGCTATAGTTTATGTAGCAATTTATAGTTTATATAGCAATTTATAGTTATGTATCAATTTATAGTTTATGTAGCAATCTAAAGTTTATGTAGCAAGCTATAGTTCATATAGCAAGCTATAGTTCATATAGCAAGCTATAGTTCATGTAGCAAGCTATAGTTCATGCAGCAAGCTATAGTGTATGTAGCAAGCTATAGTTTTTGTAGATAGCTATAGTTTATGTAGCAAGCTTTAATTTACGTTGCAAGCTATAGTTTATGTAGCAATTTATAGTTTATGTAGCAATCTATAGTTTATGTAGCAAGCTATAGTTCATATAGCAAGCTATAGTTCATATAGCAAACTATAGTTCATGATGCAAGCTATAGTTCATGCAGCAATCGATAGTGTATATAGCAAGCTATAGTTTATGTAGATAGCTATAGTCTATGTAGCAAGCTATAGTTTATGTAGCAAGCTATAGTCTATGTAGCAAGCTATAGTTTATGTAGCAAGCTATAGTTTATGTAGCAATCTATATTTTATGTAGCAATTGATAGTTTATGTAGCAATCTATAGTTTATGTAGCAATCTATGGTTATGTAGCAACCTAAAGTTTATGTAGCAATCTATAGTTTATGTAGCTATATTTTTAAATTACAAAAAAATAGTTGCTTGAATTTCATTTCATGATCATATACTGTATCATCATCAGTGATATTATTGATTAAAAAAACCATTCAGTTCATCTACGGAAGGAGCACACTGACCACAAAAGGAAATATATTAAAAAAATCAGTTAATGGAAAGTTTCAAGCTTTCGACAAATAGATACATTTATGTGCCTGTCTACCAACTTATTTGTCTACCTACTTTCTTATCTTCATGTATGACCGCTCCGGTGGCCTATTGGTTAGAGCGGATGCGGGAGGTCGTGGGTTATATTCCCAGTCGTGTCATACCAAAGACTTACAAAAATGGTACTAATAGCTTCCTTTCTTGGCGCTCAGCATTACCAGGTTAGTGTTAGGACTGGT